AGCAGCAGCAGCAGCAGCAGCTACCAAGCAGCAGCAGCACCACCAGCAGCAGCAGCAGCAGCTGCAGCAGCTACCAAGCAGCAGCAGAAGCAGCAGCAGCAGCTAACAAGCAGCACCAGCAGCAGCTACCAAGCAGCAGCAGCAGCTGCTGCTACCAAGCAGCACCACCAGCTACCAAGCAGCAGCAGCAGCTACCAAGCAGCACCAGCAGCTACCAAGCAGCACCACCAGCTACCAAGCGGCAGCAGCAGCTACCAAGCAGCACCACCAGCTACCAAGCAGCACCGCCAGCTACCAACCAGCTGCCAAGCAGCAGCAGCAGCTACCAAGCAGCAGCAGCAGCAGCTGCTACCAAGCAGCAGCAGCACCATCAGCAGCAGCAACAACCAAGCAGCAGCAGCAGCAGCAAAGAACAGCAACAGCACGTTGGGAACTGAGAAACGGTCAGGGTGAAGGGTGGAGTTGAACCCGGGGGGGGGTGGTACAGTCCTGATATATCAGGTATGAGCACTCAGGTCCTGGGCTCCCACCCTCCTTGCTAAAGCAAGACAGACTCCAGCTAGCTACAGCTAGCTTTCGTGAATAGTTGTCAAAAATTGTTGAAGGAACCGTGTCAAGGCGAAACGCTCTCTGATCGGGTTCTCTGGAGAAGGTCTAACACCGCAGCCAAACTGTAGTAAGACCTGATGGGCTTGCCTGCTTCTCCAACAGATGGTGGAACTTCAGTCATCAACCAGGCCCTGATACACGGGTATAGCGACAACCCTTCAGAGGCCGAGCAACTCAAAGGTCCATCTTTCAGCTTCTCAACAGCACTGATGCCACTCAAGCGGACGAGATCTTCTTGGGCCACGACAACTTCTTCAAAAAAGCCACCAACGACGACACACCGATTCCATGCTCTTCTTTCACCTTGCTCAAAACGAGGGACACCTCGCTATTCCACAAGCCTGAGACAAGGTAGACATGCATCCAGTCGTAAGATGTCATCAAAACAGGTCCCGGAATTGTTGCCATGAAGTTCTCATCGAAAAGCGCGCCTTCCTCACAATATGTGAACCGCAAAGTCTTTTCAAGCTCCTCGAAAGCGCCCTTCCTCAAGGTGGCCTTATCGGCTTTGAGTTTCCGTGCAAGACACATTGGTCCAGGCTGCAAACAATACTTGGCACCAGCCAGTCAGATGCGTCGTGAGCTGCCACCTCCAGCAAATGGTTGGCGACGTTCTGGCAGAACACGCAAAGTAACAGTTGCGACGAGCCCTCATTCGACCAGCATTGCTTAAGTGCGGCCTCGTCGGCCAAGAGGAGCCCGACCTTGAAGAAGCCAAACTTACAAGGCCCATTCAGGGGCAGGTTCAGTCCAAGCCTTCCGTCAAACGGCGGTTTCATGAACAACTCACAGAAATTTTTGAACTGTTGACTGTACTGTCCAGCAACCTTCTTGATGTGAGAGGCCCGACAAATTGCAATTTCAAACCACAACACGTCGCGGCCGAGCTGATTGCCGAAATCCATCAGAGACCAGTAGTAGATGGCAACCATCTTCCTGGCGTTGGTTGCCTTCAACTGGTCTCCAAGAAGGATCTCGTCACAGTAGATCGCCACCTTGAATGGATTCCCTGCAGAGTTGTTGGAGGACGCAAGCACGCCCTTAAAGAACTCCCTAAAGGACTCACTCCTGCGAAAAGCAACGGCCAAGGCGAGATGCAAGGCAGCTCCAACGTTCCACCCTGTTCCTCAATGAGGCTCAGAATGGATT